GGACAGATACCGCAAAGCTTCAAGTACGTCACTATTGTCTACTTCTTCCAACGAGAACAAGATCGCAAGGTACGTTACAATCGCTGCGGAACACCCCCTCGGCAGTAAATCCAAAATATATGTCCACGTCTTTTCCAGTCGCCTAAATGCACACTTAAAACAGAGGTGCCTTCCACAAACCCAATGCGGATTATGGGAGCATTGTCGAACAGCAAGCACAGTCACGACAGTCCGAAAGCAGAAGCGTCAGGAAGGGAAGAATGGTCGGTAGACCGTGATGGACGCTAGAAAACCATGCAAGCTGAGCTCCCTGAACGGTTCATGCAGATGGTCAGGGAGCGATGCGATGACGTATATCACGGCCAATGAGTCAGCATTGAAACCTCTTCTGTGGCCAAAGGGGTGAGGCAGGGTTGTGCATTTGCTTCCATCTTTCTCAACATCATGTTCTCCACCATGCTTATGAAGGCCTATTGTGAGAACTCAGCGTCAGTTCACAAACCCGTGGGCGTCTATTCAACATCCGGCGCATGTACACCAAGATAGAAGTAACCCAGATCAGGATTCACGGCCTTTTATTTGCGAATGACCGTACGCGGAACATCACAGTCGAGACTGACATGCAGTGAAACGCAGATTTCTTTTCCTTCGTTTGTTCAAAATTCATGTCGATCATCGGCATAGACAATACGATTATTATCTACCAACCGGCGCCAACTGAAACATGCAGGAGACTCAGTAAGTATCAGTGGAACTTTCAGTGAGCAAATCCGACTACAGGGAAGTGCCATTTTAAGAAACATCAAGATCGGCGATAAGATTACAATTCGGATCTTCAGTGTCACCCAAACTTCAGGCAGACTTTAGCAATGTCTTAAATCGCCTTGACATCTTCCTTAACGCAAAAATGGAAATGTACAACTCTGTCATCCGCGTTATGATTCTCATTGGGACGCAGGAATGGACAATTTATCAGGGTTAGAATGCAAATTTCGGTAGGACTGACTCATGTGGTTCCCTAAGCAGGACATGGAAATAGGAACAATCTGCAGCACGGATGGTTTTTAGCCAACTCCCAGTGAAAGTATGGTTAGGTTTAAGGTTAGGGTTGGGTCAAGGATTAGGTTCAAGGCTAGATTTAAAGAAAGCGGTAAAGTTTGTCAGCATCAAGTTATGGGTTACGGTGCTGAGCTAGTGTTGACTACAGAGTTAAGGTTTAGATCAAGATTAGGGCAACTGTTTAGTTTTATATTAGGGCTATTGTTGGGGTCAGGACACTGGAATATTTTGCCCTTTCCGGAATTACGTGCAGGTCCACCTTTATTACTCGAGCGGGGCGTTCCTATTCTCATGTCCCGTTTAGGGGCCATATACGTCAATCCTACCTCAATTTCAGCCACTTTTACCTTATCTATCCTTGGAGGATGATAATAATGAAGGGATGGAAACAAATCCCAGACACTTAGGTTCCACCGACAGCTTGTGTTCACGACGTTTACGCTAGGCTGAGGCAGAACTAACTGCAGTGAAGCGGCCATGTCGCAAGAATGGCCAACGAGCGCCTACCTATGCGACCGTTCTACGCTTATGTCCCTGTGGCTACATGTAGACGGAGGAACAAAAAGTATGCAAGGGCACTTTTATGATCCCCCTAAATGTCTGGAGATCAATCAAAAGTCCCGGAAATCCTTGGCGGAAGACCGGTACGCATGGCGTACGGCCGTGCAAGCTGAACTAGGAGGCTAAGTTCACAGACAATTATGCATGACATTAGTACCACAGACGAAAGTTGCAAGTGCCCGACCCCCATTCACGTCAGCTCGCGTTTAGCACCGGGATTGGCCTTATTAGACATTATCACCTCCACCGCATCACATGAGCACCTTACTCCCCATACCACAAGTCACTCAAGCAGCAGATTTCGTTTAATCAACGAACAGACCGTATTGGCTCGTCTGCCCTTGCTGCGTTTATGGCCCCGACGTGACATGTACTGTTCGGAGCCTGCGATTTAGCATCTGCGTGTCCTTGCCTGTCCTTCCTACCAATTACATGACCGCGTCGTCTACCACAAACACTGTTGGGCCTGTATCACAAACGTGGTATGTGAATGAGTCTTGTCAACAAGATTTTCATACGAAGTCGTGCGTTTGTTTGTTAGTGGAATAATTTACATCACAATCTGTGCTCGCACGTCTTTTTTCCTTGTTATACTGCAATCAGCGGAGCCTTATATCCCCTCCAAACGCTCCTGCTACATACCTCCTCTGAGGTTCCTGTAGTGTTTTATGCGATTTAGATCTCGCGTTTTACCCAGACGGGATGTGAAACATTGAGCCACTCTGTGCAATCTGCCAATAATCACGCTTCACGTACTCGAAATCTAAAAAAGTCGGCCACCCTCTCATCCTACCCTCCTCCCTTAAAATATCTTCTTTAGAAACCTAATAGGCATGGTACCGTAGGGAATGGACATCAGGTCTTCATTTTTAACCCCTATGACTCAATTTACCAATTCCTCCCTTCCATTTTCGGCTCCATCGCAGCTTGCATCCCTTGGACTAATAAGAAGTTACTACCTAAGGATGAGGATACCCATATTAAAACTGTTGGTTCATAATTTCTTTATCCTTCAATGTAGTCACATCACGTTATTGTACTGTGCATTTATCTACAAGACATCATCAGGAGTTATGCGGGCTACGGACTTAAATGGAAACGGCACGCATTTGGCAAAACATGCTAAATTTCCATTTTCATTCCTCTTTCTACCCATCATCAGGATGGTAGTGTTAAGTTGTGGAGTCTGGGCCACGAGGAAACCCTGGCTGACATGGAGGGCCACGGACCTAATCGCGTCTCCCGACTGGCTTTCCATCCGTCCGGTCGTTTCCTCGGCACCACTTGCTTTGACCACTCCTGGCGCCTCTGGGACTTGGAGGTGTGCGAGGAGGTCCTCCACCAGGAAGGGCACTCGAAGGCTGTCTACGACATCGCGTTCCATCCAGATGGCTCTCTGGCTCTGACTGCCGGTCTTGACAGTTTCGGAAGGCTTTGGGACTTGCGAACTGGTCGCTGCATCATGTTTCTTGAGGGGCATTTGGAAGAGATGCTGGGTGTGGACATCGCAGCCAACGGCTATCACGCGGCNCATCAGTCGGTAGCCTCAGTGAATGTTGTCTGGGACGCCTCAACGACCCTATTGAGGGACGCGCTACTTACCTCCCCGCCTATCCTCAATCCCAAAATAGGCCGATAGTGGACTGCCCAAAGTGGCAGCCGATGACGCTCCCCAACGCCCGCCCTCTTCAAGAGGAATCTTGGCGGTTCAATGGATTCACAAAATGTCTGGAACTTTACCCTAACCCTGTGGGATTCTAGTCAGCTTTCCGACCTTGTATGCGGTGGTGAACGTTCCTTCATACTGTGGTTTGCCAATAGGGATAGAAATCCCACCGTCGCCTGCTCAATTCCAGCCGAAGTCGAAATATATGCTGGTTGCCAAGTCTTGAACAACTTAACCTCGTTCCAGTGAGATGTGTAGGCAGTGGCAAATCATACAGGACTTTAGGGATGCCACCGTTATACGCCGTTTTACAGAGACAACCGACAGAAAAGACGAGTGGAACTGAAAACCAGCCACTGGTCACCCATCAGAGATTTTGCAAGGCTATTTGGCATTGTGA